GTTATTTTAAACATTTTTAACAATGAATTTGTATTTTATATCACAGCTGTTCATTAATAGTTGATGCAACTATTCTTTTAAATAAATTTCAATGTATCACACATGCAATGTTGCAAAGGCGTGTCAACCAAGACAGCCCCACAACATCCAGAGCCTTAAGAGAATCAGGGTGAATCTCATCCACTCCCGGAGCCCTGCTGCCTCGGAGCTTTTTAACTACCTCGGCGACCTCAGCCACAGTTATGGACGGATCAACCCCAAAGTCCCCCGACTCAGCTTCCTCCATGGAAGACGTGCCAGTGGGATTGAGAAGGTCCAAAAAGTATTCCTTCCACCTCCCGACAACATCACTGGTTGAGGTCAACAGCAGCCCACCTTCACTGAATAACGTGTTAGTAATGTTACATTCAATTAAACACAAAACATTGTTTCAGACGTGGTGCAGCATAGATCATACTTCAGTACTAAATAAAACATATTCTGAGTTGGACAACAAGATACAGTCGTTTTTAAGTTATTTTATATAAACAGCTGATATAAAGGTCAAAAGTCTGTACTGTATTTGCTTTAGGAGAGAAAAAAGCCCAGTCAGACCCAAAAGCCTGTCAAGTTTAACATCCCTCAAGTGTATATCTTGTTAACTCGCAGCAGGCTGACAGTGGTGTTTAAACGGTTTACTGATCCAGAGGAACTTAATCTGATGCTGATAATCATTTGTCTCCTGCGATCCAACCCGCACTGAAAGAACAGTAACATGGTTATTTAAGCAACACCTACAACTGAAGTCTAAAGGAGAACGTAAAAATGCTAGTGAAGTTTGTGACCGTGACATTTAAGTACATTAAGTTCTGGCAACCAATGGAGTTTATGACACTGCAATAAGAGCTTCCTGAGATAAGATTCACATACATTATGTGTCAGCTTTTTATTTCAGCCTATTATTTGTGTAGCCTTGATGCTAAGTGCTCATTTCTCACAGTAAATGCATTTAGAAACAAATAACCAGCACAAATATGCGTTTGTTTTGGAGTGACAAGTCCAAAGAACACTTTGGTCTTCTACATTTTCTGTCCAAGTTCTGAGACTATCTTACCTATGGCAATCCACACTGTGAATCGAATCCAGGTTAGGAGGCTGAGCTTCATCATGAGAAAGACATTGACGAGGATACTGGCACCTGGAGTCAGTGGAACAAATGGTACCTACAAAGCAGTACATATTTTTGTCATTCTGTGGCCATTGTTAATAGTTTTTGTAAAGTCAACTGTAGTGAAAAGAATGGCAGTGAGAGCTCACCTGGAAGGTTTTGGTGTTTTTCTGTGGCTCATGAATCCATATGAGTGCCAGGCTGAAAATGAAAGCAAAGCTAAAGATCACCAGGAGCATTGTGAAGCTCCAGAGAGGGAGCTGAAGCTGCTTGTTTCCAAACTCCAGCACAGCACAGAGGGAGGCTGAGCTCACTATCAGTGTCATCACACTGAAGGCCACCACTTCACCTGGCTCACAGTCTCCCAGCAGCCTGTCCAGGTAGGGTTCCCAGCACGCCTTCAGCTGCCCCACACCACGCCGCTCTCCCGTCTTCTGTCTCTCCACCAGCTGGAGTTTGTCAGAGAAGGACTCGTATTGCTTGGGCTCCTCACTGTCTTCAGCTATGGTCTGACACTCTGAGGGGGGAGGTGAAAGCTCAGCGTTGGGGTTGGGAGATGAAGAAGCGGTGCTCTTGGAGTTGGTTTTCTCAGGCTGGAAGCGCAGCACGATCACACTCGCCGCCACAAAGGTGTACGCCAGGAGAGTGCCTATAGATAAGAACTGAACCAAGGCCTCCAGGTCAAAGATCAAAGCCAAGGCGGCCATGAGGACTCCAAACACCAGAATGGCATTGACAGGAACTTTGGTAAGGGGATTGACCCTAGCAAAAATGGAGAAGAACAATCCATCGTCTGCCATGGCATACACAATTCGAGGAAGGGAGAAGAGATTACAGAGAAGGACGGTGTTCATGGCTAAAAATGAGAATAAAGAGAACATAAGTCATAATACAGCACAGAGAAGTCAAGACTGCTGCTAAATGCATGATATTAAAATCTGTCTAAATTACATTCTTTACTTAGATGTTGATAACACTCACCACAGATGGACCCTACAGCCACAATAACTCCAGCCCAACTGTAACCACGACGAAAAAAAGCATCTGCCAGAGCTGAGTTGGGGTCCAGGGTACGCCACGGTACTATCAATGTGAGCACGGTGGAAACCAAGATGTAGGCTGTTGCTGCGAGTCCAAGGGAGATAGCAGTGGCAATGGGAATAGCCTTCTGTGGGTTCTTTGCCTCTTCACTGGAGGAAGCAATGACGTCAAAACCCACAAAGGCGTAGAAGCAAGTGGCTGAGCCTGCCAGGATGCCAGACAGCCCATAAGGTGCAAAGCCTCCTTGTTCTTGGCTCCAGTTGGTTGGGTCAGCCAGCATGAATCCAAAGACCAAGATAAAAGCAATGACACCCATACTAACAGTGGAGAAGATATGGTTTAGATAGGAGGAAACTTGGACTCCAAATGAAATGAAGACCGAGGCAACTACAAGAATTCCTGCTGCTAGTAGATCAGGGTAATGGGCAAGAAAGGGCACATTCCACTGCATGATGTGTGTTTCTGTGAAGTTTTGGATAGCATGGTTAAAAATGGAGTCTAGATAGCCACTCCAGGCTCGTGCTACAGCAGCACCGCCGATCATGTTCTCCAGAATCACATTCCAACCAATGAGAAAGGCCCAAACCTCTCCCACAGAGACATAGGTAAACATATAGGCAGATCCTGTTTTGGGTATGCGTGCTCCAAACTCTGCATAACAAAAGGCAGCCAGTAACGAAGCGATGCCTGCAAAAATGAAGGATACGATGACAGCGGGTCCAGCTGTGTCTTTGGCCACTGTTCCTGTCAGGACATAGAGCCCTGAGCCCACCATGCCACCAACACCCATCAGAGTCAGGTCCAGGGTGGAGAGGCAGCGTTTCAGAGATGTCGCCATCATGTCACCGTCCAGTGTCTTGAGCCGGTTCAGCCTCTGACAAAGGCGCACGGCTGGGGCGCAGCCTCTCGAACAAGTTGCCATAGTTACAGTGTTAAGACAGTCTTGCAGAGGGAGGGTGGGTGCTTGAACCTGTCAAACTGGATCCATTACCTGTCTATGAAGATGACCTGAAAGACAAAACCCAATATTTACAAAGAGTACACAATGAGAAGGTGAAACAATGCTGAAACTTGGCTTTCAGATTAAATAGACGGGACTTTCAGCTATTTATGCCATTCTTGATTTCTCCACATAAACATAATCTGACTGGGGGATGTTTTTAACACCCCCCACCCCCCAAAAAAGTCTAACATCATCCAGTCCTTTTAAAGTCTTTTAAAATAAAAAGTTTACAATGAATCAAATCCTAAGGAATAGCACGATGTATGTCTTTAAAGGGACTTTTCCATCTTAGTGATGCTTTGTGCTCCTGACAGCGTGTGGCGCTCCTCTCGGCACCCTGCAGGCGGGTCCACGTCACCTAAAGGCGCATCGCTCATGTGTGAAATAATGACGCTTTAGCATCATTTTACTGTTCCAGATGTTTGCTCTTTCCATCGCAGTATTCATCCTCCAGCACCATCACCAGACCATCATCCGACTCCCGGCCTTGATGAACATATGGCGACAACAGGATGCCTCCTATATGACATTACGTAACGCTTTATTCTCCCGGTTAGAAATAAGACCGCTGTCATAAAAGTACCTGCTCGTTTCACCACAGGCTACAATTTCAAGCAGATGTGGCCTCGGTTAAATAGGAGAGATTAGAATAAGGCGATGGATGCAGTAAGCTTTGTTTTAAATGCCACATGAATAATTTATAGTCAAATGGAAAAGAGCTGAGCGCACCTCTCTGTTTTACTGCATCGCACTTTGTGTTGGTGAGACTGTTGTGATGATCACAACAGATAAGGCGATGGACAAAACAAAAATAAATAAATAAAAATACATACAAACAGTAAATAAATACCTTTTCTGCTCAGTGGTTGCCATCTTTGCTCCTGGTCTGGCTCAGCGCTGTTAGAAGTTACCCGAGCGCATCATCTCCTGATGGAGCAGAAGGTGCACGGATGAAGAATAAGCCCTGCCCGGACTGTTTCTTAAAGGTACAGGCACCCTTTTTAGGTTACAGCTCTGTGATGGGGGGCTTCCCCACTGCACCCCCCCCCCCCCCCCACACACACACACACAGGGATTATCCAGCATGATAAATAAATGTGGACTTTAAAAGAAGAAAGTCATGTATGCAGTTGAGTCAATTAAATGTCATAATAATAATAATAATAATAATAATAATAAAAATATATATAAAATAGAATAAAAAATTCCATTGTATATTTAAAAATTCTGTTTGGAAATCAAAAATGCCAGGTAGGTCAATATTTGAACAGCTACTTAAATGCAAAAGAGAATAAATGAGCTGATGTGTAATCAAACACAAAAATATGGATGTGCTCAAAGTTCAGTCTGATGCTTGGTTTGAAAATATATTTTCTGACAGAAAGTATATAAATATGTATATATCAACTATTTCTATAGCTCATTTTAAAAAACACAAGGGTAGCCAAAGTGCTGTACAATAAGACAAAAAGACAAATTAATTAAGACAATAAAAACATACAAAGCATACACAAAGAAACAAAAAACGTACACGTACCAGTTTCACGACAGGTGTGTTAAGATGCCATAAAATATAAGATCACGTGTTAAAAGCCATAAAATATAAGATCACGTTTTAAAAGCCAAAGAATAAAAGTGTGTTTGTGAAAGAGATTTAAAAACAGGAAGCGAGGAGGCCTGTCCGGCACTCAAGGGTAAGTTGTTCCATAACCTGGGAGGAGCAACAACAAACGCTCTGACACCTCTGAGCTTCAGCCGAGTTTTAGAGACTGTCAGCAGCAGCTGATCAGCTGATCGTAGGGACCGGGGTGGGCAGTAAGGCTGAAGCAGCTCAGACAGATACAATGGGGCAAGGTTGTTCAAGCATTTAAAAACAAATAGCAAAAGCTTAAAATGAATTCTGTAGTGCACAGGGAGCCAATGAAGGGACGCCAGGATGGGAGTAACATGCTCGCACCTACGGACCTGAGTTAACAGGCGAGCAGCAGAGTTCTGCACAAGCTGCAGACGGGCAAGAGAGGTCTGGCTAATGCCTGCATACAGTGCATTACAGTAGTCAGGACGAGCTGTGATGGATTAATATCTCCAAATCAGGCCTTATATATACATACTGTATATCCTTCTTCTTTAATGTATTAGAACAATGCAATAAAGGCTGTTCTGGTAAACATATCGCAGACTAGGATAAACAAAGTGAGCGTGGAAATACTAAATTGTTATTTTATGCATTAATTTAGGCTAGTATCTTTAAGGCAGTGGTATAGCCTACATTTTTGTTGTGGGTATACTGTGCTTAGAAACCAAAAGTACACCAGTTAGTACAATGTAATCGTCAATCTATTTTGATTTTTAAGCATATTGGACATTTCAAATTATTTCTGATGCTTTCATTTGAATAAATGTACAACAAACTTTGTACAACAGTTTTCTTTGTATTAAAAACATGTTATAGAATTTATAAAACAGTATTAAAGCAAAACATGTTCACATATTAAGTAGTAATTACAGAAGTATTAATTATACAAAAACAGGTTGGACTAACTCAATGTGTCTATAAAATGTTCCAGATGTGTTAAGAATGACATAAGCCCATGTCATGTATCATTGCCATTTATACATGACATGGGTTCGTATCATTGGACACCTTGAAGTGGGTATACTGAAATTCCCAAGCTTCTCTAGTGGGTGTACTCTATACTCGCATATCGCACTGCTCTAAGGGAGTTTTCAAAACCACCAGATCTTTATGAGGAAAAGTTGAAGTCAGTCACTTGTGATGGTGCAGAGCTAAAGCATAAAACAGACTTGGCAACGCTAGATCCTTTGATAAGGTACTTATCAGAAAGTGAGCAAAGAAACATACAAAATTATAACATTAAAAAAAATGCAACTGAATACATTCAAACCTTTCACAACTCATTTTCTGAATGAGTATTTTCCTTTTTTGTACCATTTTGTAACCTTTCACATCAGGAACTTCTCTTTATGAATAAAAATAAAAGTTTCAGAAGACAAAGTTGTTAATATGTTATCAACTACATGATATTTAACACAGCAGAAAACTTTTTTTTTTGCACAACATAAATTGTGTTTGTAAATACATTTGTCTTTTCTTGTTGGAGAGATCACGTCTCTCCAGTTTTAGCTTATCTCCACTGACTCCCTGTCAGCCTGGTTGTTTCTTCCTGTTAAAAAGGATTTTTCCTTTCCACTGTTGCCTTTGTGCTTGCTCAGGATGGGAGACTGTGATGAAGTGAAGATTCAACACAATTTACTGGTTTTCTTAGATAATTGTTACTACCCGTCATTGGCTTTTTTTTAAATGTATGTGAATGTTTCTGTTCAGTGCCCTGAGACAAATTCTGTTGTGACTTGGTGCTATAGAAATAAACTGAATGGGATTGTTTCGTGAATAAAGAAGCACAACCAAGCTGCTAATGTTATTCCATCAGTTCACTAATGGCAGAAAATATGAATATGGGTCAAGGCTGACGTTAGGGCTTATCTGTGCATCGGTTTTCTAAACAAATGCAACATTATTTTTCTTTATTCTTTCGTGATATTTATGGACTCTTCAGCCCAGGTTTTAAAAAAATTGTATGCTGTATATCATTGTGCCCTGTGTTTTATGACTGACTGTGTCTATCGAACACATCACTGCACTTTGTATGCTACAGCAAAATGTCCCTCTTTGACTGACCGCAGACTTTCTCACTTGTTGGTTTTTATCTATAAATGCATCCTTGGGCATCTTCCTAGATATTTATGTTCACTTTTAACTAGAACTTTTAACCATTTTAGCCTGCACTCTCTGGACATCCTATTGATTCAGGTCCCAAAGGTCAGAACTGAACTGTTTTTCAATTATTCGCTCCTGCCACTTGGAATATTCTGCAGAAGGATTTAAAGTTATCATCTCTTGTTACGTTAGGACAATTTAAATCAATTCTAAAGGAACAAGAGATCAGATCACTTGGCTCCTGTAACTGCTCTTATGTGTAATTATTGTGATTTCTCCTGGATAAGTATTTTGTGTATTTGGTTTAGTATTTTGGATTTGTTGTATGTTTTATGCTGCTGTCTTGGCCAGGTCACTCTTGGAAAAGAGGTTTTTAATCTCAATGAGTTGTTTTCCTGGTTAAATACAGGATACATACACACATACATACATTTATCTTCTAAAATTGCTCATAAATTGGTGCATGTTGCAAATATTAACCACAGGTGTGTGTCATTGATATTTTGTTGCGCTTCAGTGAAATGACAATACAGCTGATTCTAAAAGGATTAAGGACATTTATTGTTGCTCTTAATGACAAATAATAAACATTAATGGGACTGACATTTGGGAAACAAAATAAATTGCAATTGAATACAAAAACAACTACAACTAATTTAAAAGTTAAAATTCAGTGCCTTCACAACCTCATGACAGTAAAAATATAAATATGGTACAACTGTGAAAATAGGGCCAGAGTAGAACTAAACTCACTTCAGTATTCCTCATACGCCAACATGTTAACACACTGTGCTAATTAAATTGTTTTGCTCACAAGTGTGGGATCAGCACAGAGGTCTAGTGATTACACTGCAGGCTCACAGCAGGATATAGATTTTAATATCTTAATTGTTGCCACACTGAATATATAATCAGATAGTAATGAATGATGCAGACATCAAAGTACCTGAAATGGACGCACACAGAGAAATTTTATAACGCTGGTTAAATATGCTTTAACTGCATGCCTCCAAATCTAACTTGTTACAGTGCCTTGCGAAAGTATTCGGCCCCCTTGAACTTTTCAACCTTTTGCCACATTTCAGGCTTCAAACATAAATATATTAAATGTTAATGTTTTGTGAAGAATCAACAACGAGTGGGACACAATCGTGAAGTGGAATGAAATTTATTGGATGTGTCAAACTTTTTTAACAAATAAAAAACTGAAAAGTGGGGCGTGCAATATTATTCGCCCCCTTGCGTTAATACTTTGTAGCTCCGCCTTTTGCTGCAGTTCCAGCTGCAAGTCTCTTGGGGTTTGTCTCTATCAGTTTTGAACATGGAGACACTGAAATTCTTGCCCATTCTTCCTGCAAAACAGCTCGAGCTCAGTGAGGTTGGATGGAGAGCGTTTGTGAACAGCAGTCTTCAGCTCTTTCCACAGATTCTCGATTGGATTCAGGTCTGGACTTTGACTTGGCCGTTCCAACACCTGGATACGTTTATTTGTGAACCATTCCATTGTAGATTTGGCTTTATGTTTTGGATCATTGTCTTGTTGGAAGATAAATCTCCGTCCCAGTCTCAGGTCTCTGGCAGACTCAAACAGGTTTTCTTCCAGAATGGTCCTGTATTTGGCCCCATCCATCTTCCCATCAATTCTGACCCTCTTCCCTGTCCCTGCTGACGAAAAGCAGGTCCAAACCATGATGCTGCCACCACCATGTTTGACAGTGGGGATGGTGTGTTCAGGGTGATGAGCTGTGCTGGTTTTACACCAAACATATTGTTTTGCATTGTGGCCAAACAGTTTGATTTTGGTTTCATGTGACCAGAGCACCTTCTTCCAGATGTTTAGTGTGTCTCCCAGGTGCTTGTGACAAACTTTAAACAACACTTTTTATAGATATCTTTGAGAAATGTCTTTCTTCTTGCCACTTCTAAAGGCCAGATTTGTGCAGTGTACGACTGATTGTTGTCCTATGGACAGACTCTCCCACCTCAGCTGTAGATCTCTGCAGTTCATCCAGAGTGATCATGGGCCTCTTGGCTGCATCTCTGATCAGTCTTCTCCTTGTTCGAGATGAAAGTATAGAGGGACGGCCGGGTCTTGGTAGATTTGCAGTGGTCTGACACTCCTTCCATTTCAATATGATTGCTTGCACAGTGCTCCTTGGGATGTTTAAAGCTTGAGAAATCTTTTTGTATCCAAATCCATCTTTAAACTTCTCCACAACAGTATCTCAGACCTGCCTGGTGTGTTCCTTGGTCTTCATGATGCTCTCTGCACTTGGAACAGAACACTGAGACTATCACAGAGCAGGTGCATTTATACGGAGACTTGATTACACACAGGTGGATTCTATTTATCATCATCAGTCATTTGGGACAACATTGGATCATTCATAGATCCTCACTGAACTTCTGGAGTGAGTTTGCTGCACTGAAAGTAAAGGGGACGAATAATATTACACGCCACACTTTTCAGTTTTTTATTTGTTAAAAAAGTTTGACACATCCAATAAATTTCATTCCACTTCACGATTGTGTCCCAATTGTTGTTGATTCTTCACAAAAATTTAAAATTTTATGTTTATGTTTGAAGCCTAAAATGTGGCAAAAGGTTGAAAAGTTCAAGAGGCTGAATACTTTCACAAGGACCTGTATATCTTCTAATCATCCATCAGGATCCCATGGCTGTAATTTCCATGAATAGACAATTCTTAAGTATTAAACATGACAAAATGTTACAAGCTTGAATGTTTAGCTGTCAGTGAGTCACTACTTATTTCACTCTTCACAAGGATTTTTTTTTTCAAGCCAGTGCAAATTCTAGTCTCTTAGGATTTTGTTTGTCATGCCTTTGATTCAAGAGTCCCATCATCCATTTTCTTCTCCTGCTTTTTCCCCTTTAGGGTCACTGGGAGCTGCTGCCCATCTCCAGCAGTCACTTTTCATTTATTAGTTTACTTGACAAGGACAATGCACTCAAACATAGAACATAAGTCTGTGACTGATGCATTGCACAAAGAGTATATAGCTACAGCTAATGCGCAACTCCAGTCACTAACACAGACACATGGATAATTTAGTTATTTAGCTTAACATGCATGTTTTTGGTCTGTTGGAGGAAACCCACATGTGCACAGGGAAAAAAAAAAAAAAAAAAAACTACACACAGAAAGGCCGGGAGGACTATTCACTAACAATGCACTGCACCAGTAAATAATATCAATAAATACTACTTAAATACTGATAGTTTAAACTCCTGTAACCTCTGCCTTCTGAGGCTTGTTACTTTGTTCAAAGTTTTCTTAAAAAAAAAAAAAAGTGCATATTTTCTAAACCAGAACATTTACGAAAAAGTAGTAAATTTAAGAACCAAATAAAATTACACACCCTGGTGAAGTGAACAATTTATAATACGGTTAGAATGTGCAACCAAAGCAGCTGTACATGCTAGTTACAGGAACTCATATTACAAAGCTTTAAACAGAGCAAACCTTGCTGTACTCGTCCAGAAAGCACGTGGAACAAGCGTTTCTCAAACTAGCGTCTTACAGCAAATAAATAAATGTTGTGCTTTTAACTTTTCATATGGAAACAAAATATATTTTGTGTCTCAAAACATGAAAACTAACTTTGCTTTAAAGTCACAGCTTTAGTAACATCTCCATGTGTTCTTATGCATGTTTGCATCATTTAAATTGTGCCCAAATAATTTTTTATACCATCCAACTTGAGGTGTATACCCGGTGACAGAGAACACGTTTAACACTTTGTGAACTTCTTACTAATTAGAAACAGCTGGCTGAAGCAAGCTGAATCTCAACAATCATAAGATTATTTGAACTTTTCTCATTGTCTACAGTGTAATTATTGTTCCTTCTGGCACGACAAGGCCTCTGTTGCATTTCTCATTGTAGTCCAGACTGTGACTCCTTCTGTTGAAGTTTAAGAATCAGTTCAAGGAGGTTCATCTGCATCGTCAGTTCCTGAAACGGTAAAAACAAAAGCAGTCATTTGATAAATAGTTGTTTCCATCAAAAAGTTTTATTTACGTTTTGTCTACGCTGAAAGAAAACTGGTCGACTTTTACCTGAGGATTGGTGGTGATATAGAATCCAGGAACTCCTGCTTTCTCCAGGGTGTTCTGCTGGTCGATCACCTTTTGATCCATTTCTGCAACAATCTTTTTATCCATCATCTTTTGCTCTTCTCGCACTCGAACTTCCAAAGCCTGATAACCTCACAGCTGTTAGTAAATCAAAAGCAATTACAGCAGTACCATAATGTTCTGAGTAAAAAGTGGTTTTGGACTTGCTTTTTTTTTTTTTTACCTCAAGCTCTCCTTGTTGGTTTGATTTGAGAAGTGTAAGGTTGTGAGACTTGCATGTCTGTACAGCATCTTTATGTTTTCGCAGAAGTTCTTGTTTAAGTGCTACAAACATAGGGAATCAGTCTATTTACAAACAGGGAACATAAAACATGAACTAGGTAACAAAGCTGGCAAACACGTTCATACATTGTAGATTTGAGAGAGTGGGCCTTCAGGTAAAACTTTGGTCAGACCTTGGTGTTCACAGTGTAGCTTCTGTCTTTGATTGTACAGATTTTTCTCTGTCAGATGTTGGATATCCAGGAGGCCCTGCACAATCTCGTACACTGTTCCATCTATGAGGGATAAAGCCAGGTCACCAAGCGTGTTGTAGGACAAGCGCTGCTGGAATGAGCTGACCATGGAAGAAACAAAAAGAATGAAAATGGAACATATTAATCAGGTTGGAGGTTTAATGACCTCATTCGCGTTCATTTCAATTAAATCAACCATGAGTGCTGTGAAGGATGTACTAGGTAACCATACCTTGGCAAGTCTTTGACTAAAGTTTGCAGTTCAGATAACAAGTAATAATGTCTTTCTTGTAGTTTAGTAGGATCACTGTCGATAACTCCAGGATAAATATCCATAATCTGAGCTAGAAAAATAAAAACAGCGATAGATATTGTTCATCACATTAGCTAGCTAATTCGATTATACCTAATATTCTATTTTTATGTTCGAAGCTCTTACACATAAAATTTCTAAACTATTTAAATTAACCTAGTTTGCATTAAATACTTATTTGCATTGACAAAACTAAGCTTAAGATTTCAAAATTACTTTTCCCTCCTCAACAATTCAGGCTTGTTCGCTGCAGCTACGCTGTGGCTTGTTGCCATACAAGCTAAACAGGACCCCAAATTGGTGGCTGTTATAGCGCCTGTCCGTAATTCTGCCAGAAAGCGCCTGTTCCACAACATGCTCGACAGATGGCGCACTGCATCAAAAATAATAAAAATAAAACAAGATTACCACTTATGATCGTTTTCTACCGAGGATGAAATGCACTGTACATGTCAAAGATGTATTGTCGATGTTGCCATAGCAACATTTGAAAAAAAACAAACAAACAAAAAAAAAACACAATAATTTGATTAGCTTATAATCATTTTAGAAAAATGTTAGAAAGCAAATGTTTTCGTGAACAGTTTATCAAACACAATGATAAGGTGATGCTTTGTCTATTTAAGCCACGCTGAAAGAGAAGAATGACAGAGGCCGTCGCTGTATTTAACCCTGTAGGCTGTGTCTTTTGGTTTAAGCCGCTCCAGTGGCCGCGCTGACGCGCGCCTGTGTCGCGCGCGCGCTACTGGTGGGCAGAGCGCCGCCGTCACGAGCCGAGAAGGTGTGATGAAACGAAGAAAACTCACTTTGGGAGGAGAAGAACGCTGTTTATAAGGACGCGAATGGCCACAGAGGAGAAACTGGATGAATAAGTCACTCGTGTGAAGATGGCGAAAAACACATCTCTTTACTTTCGTATTGTCGAAGGCAGGAACCTCCCAGCCAAAGACGTGTAAGTAAATCCTGGATGAATGGCATGCGCATCTGTGCACGTCTTATCTGATTGATTGATTGATAGCTGTCATGTTCAGGGAAGCACTGTTTAGCTTAGGTGTTCCCTAGTTTAAACTGACTGGAGGAATGACGGCAGAACGCTTCAGGTTTTTTATTTCTCTTATTTAAACAGGACATAATTAAATGAAACATAAATAAACATAAGGCAAACTGACTGTGCTCATTTTGTGTTTTCTTTGAAGGTCTGGAACCAGTGATCCTTACTGCATTGTAAAAGTTGACAATGAAGTTGTGGCCAGGTGAGTTTTCTCTGCAGCCTCCATCAACAGCTGGGTTCTCCTCCAAGTTAAAATGTCCACATTGAGTCTTGTGCAGTTTGTATGCTTGCTCTGTTTTTCTCGCCACACATGCAACACATGCAGACGGTGCGTGTTTAGATGCCAACAGCGTGGCCCCTCCAACATAGAGAACCTGATACTGGTCTGGCCTTTAAACACCCTTAGGTAACCATGGAGCGGATGCATTAATTATTGCAGGAGCAGCACCTGTATGAAAGGAGGATGCTGGGAGCTGAGAGCGGAACACACCTGGTTTGAATATGAGTGGTAAAAATCCAGTTCAAAATATAATAAATGCACTAAATTCAGTGAGTATATGTATTCAGCGCTATTGTTCCATCTGGCGTGATGGAAAACGACACAATGATTCACTGCAAGCTTTTGCGCTAATTATCTCGCACTTTTAGTGTTACTGGCCAACTGATTCTTGAGTGTGATGTTAATGCACGATGAGGCTGGTGATTGTGGGAAGTGAGGACTACACGACAAACTATTACTGGATCCATTAGGCTGATTCTGTTCACCTTCTGTTCCTGATTTATGACAATTATTTTATTAAAGTGGCACATCGAAGCTTGTAAACTGTTCAGGCTGTTTTCTAAAAGTAAATAAAAATCCCCAAATTTATCAGAATAATTTATTTCATGAGGAAACTGATCCAATTCTATTTTCTGTACGTGGCAGCAGATTTCCAACCTTTGCTATCTGGTTTAAGGCCCTAAAAGTTTCAGTAAATCACAATCAGTCCTGTTGACAGAACAAACATGCGTCACAACACTTAAAGTCAGGACTTTGATGGTCAATCCAAAATGTCCAGTTTATTCTTCACCACTTAATCTCTTAGATAACGAATTGATGATTTGAGTTTTTATGATTAATTTTCTCTTGAGATTCAGTTTGTAAACAGGTGTTGCGTTTCATAATTCAGAGTTTATTGTTTTATCATTAATAGTAAGCCGTCATTAGATGAAGCAAAAAAAGGTACAAACCATGATTCACCCATTGTCATGCCTCAGATAGACTATCTGGATTGTTCTTTTTCAAAACCTTATCTCATTTAAACCAAAAATATCTACACTAACATTTGATCACCAAAGATGTTTCTTTGCCACGTGCTCTTTATTTTATTTATTTATTTATTTTTTATTTATTTATTAATTTTATTCATTTTATAATAATAAAAAAACCACAAAACAATTAACATAAAGACAACAAAAGAAATAAAATTATAAAATGAAAGGTGGCAGATGAAGAAAAAAATCTTATCATATCTGCCCCTTATTCTATGATGAACAATTTAAACAAACAACTTCCTTTGAATACAAAAAAGAGATAAACAACACATTAACTTCCTTAATCGCAATGAATTACTGTTTGAACTCATTTCAAATATATTGTTTCAACAATTTATCCTTGACCATTCTTTTGAATATAGGCATTGATTTAGCTTCTTTAACATCAGTTCCTAATTCATTCCATAACCCAACTCCTTGAATTATGGTAGACCTTCCTTTTAAAGTAGTTCTATACTTGGGCTTCACAAACATGTCTGTTCCCTTAAGATTATAACAACTCAATCGTTTAACAATATACACCTGGATATTCGAAGGCAAAACATTATTGTGCGCTCTATACATCACTGACAATATATTATAATCCACCAAATCATAGAACTTCAGCAATTTGGTATTATAAAATAATATACTTGATGGATGCCGATAATGTTTTCTAGTAATAATTCTTAAAACTCTTTTCTGCAAAACAAAAATAGGCTTTGTAATTGATTTACATGCCTTTCCCCAAATACTAATACAATAAATCAAATGTGGAACAATAATTGTATTATATAACAAATAAAGTGCCTTGTCATTCAATAGATCCCTAACTTTATAAAATATTGCAATAGATTTAGATAATTTCATTTTAACAGAACTTATATGTCGTTTCCAGGACAGTTTGTCATCAATTATGACACCCAAGAATTTCGCCTCATGGACTCTGTGAATTTCGGAGCCATCAATTTTAAATGAGACATCAATAGATTTATTTTTATTACTAAAAATCATATAATTGGTTTTATCTAAATTTATTAAAGTGAAGGTGAGCACCAATGGTTTATTAGTGATCAGTGAACTTCTGAACATATCCCTCACTTGTTCATGCCATGACACTTTCTAAACCACGCAGGACAATTTACACTAAATCTATCTTTCAATTAACTTCTAATTTGAGTCACTTGTTCTTCGAAGCAGACCTGAAATACAAATTTTCAACTTTTATTCTTAGAAGTTGTTGCATATTTATAGACATTAGACTACTACTATTTAATATGCTTGTATTACAAGGGGCTGTTTAAAATTATGCCTAAAGAACATGTCTCTTTTCAGGACTGCCACAGTGTGGAAGAATCTTAATCCTTTCTGGGGTGAGGAGTACACGTTGCACCTCCCGACGGGGTTCCATTCACTCTCGTTTCTTGTCATGGATGAAGATACAATTGGGTAACGCTACCATTCAAAGCTTCCATCCATTTGTTTGTTTTCTATAACTATTTAATTATAGGGTCACCAGGGGCCTGTACCTCCAGCAGTAAACCCTTTTTTAAAAATTCAACCTTTATTTATACAGGTTAGGCTCACTGAGTCACGAGGACTCATTTTCAAGAGACCTGTTTTAAACAAAAACCACAGAAGAGGTAAACACGACAATAAAGCAATCATATAAAAGCATATAGAATGAAAAGTAAATAAAGGAAGTGATAGAAAACGAGATAAAAAGCACGCTACGTTATAAAATGGTGTAAAATACTAAAAACAGGAACATGTCTGCATTGATTTTTGCATTGAATTTAAGAGTTGTTTAAAATCCCTTAGGGAGGTCAAAGTCGAGAGCGTCAGATTTTCTTTGCAAGGTGTTCCAGGTTACAGGAATACCTTGAGAAGGCCCTTTTGCCAAATTCGGTCCACACTGAGGGGACGCTGCAGGTAATGATGTCTTGAGAGTGCATGCTGTAGCTGCACTGATGAAGTGACATGTAGGAGGAGATACTGTATATAAAGGAAACAGACCAAGAAGTGATTCAAAGATGAAAATGTACCAGTGTGAGAGTCGGCGTGAGGTTAATGATGTCCAGTTGGGCGCAGTGAAGTATGGTAATTACAGCCAGTTGTGAATCTTAGTGCACCATGATAGACAGCAGCTAACATCTGTGCTTGCAGGAGCAGTCAAATAAATAATGTCACCGTAGTCAATGGACGGAAGGAAAGTAGCAACTACAAGGCATTTCCTAGCATTCAGAGTTTGACAAGATCTATTTCTAAAAAAGAAACACAATTTTACTTTCAGTTTCTTTACTGTTTTCGACATGAGGCATAAAAGAGAAGATGTGCATCTACCAAGATACCCAAGTATTTATAAGAATCGACCAACTCGATAGGAACACCATTTGTAGATAAGATAGAAGGAAGGACTGCTGGTACTGACTTCCTGTTTGAAAACAACATCCCTTTGGTTTCATCAGCATTTACAGCATCTTGAGACAGAACAAATCTGACTGGATGTTGTCGAATGCAGACTGTAAAAGCTGGAAAACCTTACCAACTGTTTTAGCTCGACAATAAACAACTGTGTCATAAGCATAGAAAAGTAAGGATGCATCAGGAATTATCTGACCCACAGTACTTATGTAGATTGTGAAGAGGGTGGGTCCTAAGACTGAGCCTTGTGGTACACCATTGTTGACAGTTAAATAGCTGTAAGAAGTACCATTATGTTGAACACATTGCTTCCGATCTGAGAGGTAATTAGAAAACCAATCAATAGTGTGATCTGAGAAACCAATGTTTTAGAGCTTAGACCTTGGACAGGTCACAAGGCCATGCAGCACAGTTTTTAAATGATTCCATACCCAGCCATTACTTTTATTTGTCAGCGCTTGACTTTAATTTATAGTCCTCAGTGTTTAATTTAGCTCATGAATGGATATATTTGAGTTAAAACCTCATGCTCAGCTGAAATGTTCTTGGGGGGAAAAGGTTATCCAAGCTTTGAATAAACAAACACGATGGGGCAGAAGGTCATCCTGGATCAACAAGTCAATCAAAGGTTGTTTTCCGCTTCTCCTCATGACCGCCAGTCCCATCATTTTACTCACCAGCTTGAATCGAATCCTTAATAGGTTCGATTTAATCCTTTTGTTCTTCTTTTCACAGGCATGATGATGTTATTGGAAAGATTACTCTGAACAAAGAAGCCATTGGAACTCAGGCTAAAGGTATGACTGATACCAGATCAGCGTTTGATTGTATAACCTGAGCTCAGAGGTTAAACATACAGCCGTTCCCACGATAGAGTCAAAAGTCCCTGGTTTTAGTCTGGGAATGTTTATTACTCTTCTTCTCCCACACATTTAATTTAATTTACCCGTTTTTATTAATCTGTATTTTCCCGAGCACTGCTTTCCACAGACTCAATGGTGAATGTAATTGTGATGGTGCTCCTGGTGCTCGTCTGAGTAAGCTTTGTGATTATTCATTGTGCATCATAAACCATGAGAGCAGCTAATGCATTTCAATCAGCCTTAAACCATAAAACGACCGTTTCTCTCACGGAGAGCTCCATCTTCAAAGTCACGCTGTTTAATCAGCGTAGACCGTTTCGCCTTCTGCACCGTCTTGGTCAGACATACGGTGGATGCAGTGTGTTTTGATGGTGCAACAGTTTTATTGAAATGCTGCGAGAGTTCATCGTGGCCCGTTTGCTGCATACAGATACATCTCTGGTAAAAGCCACCTAGTGTGGCCTTCAATTCAGTGATTCATGTCGGCGTGGTGGCAGTGAGTCACTTACTCCCTCGCACAATTTCTCTTCTCACAGGCTGGCCTTGACTTTATTTTTCCTTTTTTTTGTCTGGTGTTTTTAGAAAAACAAAACAAATAATTTGAACACAATCACTTTGCTTACGTTTTGCTCAAACTATTTAGGACGACGTTCAGTTTCAGAATTATTTATACAGCAGGAGTTTTTTTTAACACCACAATAGACTGGAATTCAAACTTCAAAATGTGAATTAAGTTCCAGCTTTCACCCTTGAACTTATGGCTGTAAATAAAAAACAGTTTAACCATTTAGACACCAATGCTATTTTTGACCATTCTTTATTTTCACACGTGTTAAAGAAACTGGACATTTTGAGTGTTCAATTTATGCTCTTAATATGACGGGTCCAAAGTTGATTCCACATTGTTTATTATGAAGTTTCAAAATTTCATATATATTTATATATTTCATTGGAGCCGGAAAAGGGTAGAGTGCCCTCTCCGGGTCAGGGAGGAGGTCCTACCCCAAGTGGAGGAGTTCAAGTATCTTGGGGTCTTGTTCACGAATGAGGGAAAAAAGGAGCGTGAGATCGATAGGCGGATAGGTGCAGCGTTGGCAGTGAAGCGGGCGCTGTACAGGTCTGTCGTGGTGAAGAGAGAGCTGAGTCAAAAGGCGAAGCTCTCAATTTACCGATCGATCTGTTCCTACCCTCATCTATGGTCACGAGCTTTGGGTTGTGACCGAAAGAATGAGATCTTGGATACAAGCGGCTGAAATGAGTTTTCTCCGCAGGGTGTCTGGCTCTCCCTTAGAGATAGGGTGAGAAGCTCGATCATCCGGGAGGGACTCAGAGTAGAGCCGCTGTTTCTCCACGTCGAGAGGAGCCAGTTGAGGTGGCTCGGGCATCTGTTTAGGATGCCTCCTGGACGCCTCCCTGGTGAGGCGTTCCGGACACGTCCCACCGGGAGGAGGCCCAGAGGAAGACCCAGGACACGCTGGAGGGACTATGTTTCTCGGCAGAAGTGGGATCGCCTCGGTATTCCCCCGGAGGAGCTGGACCAAGTGGCTGGGGAGAGGGAAGTCTGGGCCTCCCTACTTAAGCTGCTACCCCCGCGACCCGACCCCGGATAAGCAGAAGAAAATGGATGGATGGATTATCTCTATCATTTTTACTGTAGTTTATCATTGCTATTGTTTACTGTTCTGTTTGGAGCAGGTCTCTTGTAAATGAGTCCTTGTGGCTCAGTGAAGCCAACCTGTATGAATAAAAGGTTGAATAAATCATTATGTATATATTTATATTCATTCAACCTTTATTGATACAGGTTAGTTCCATTGAGCCAATAGGACTCATTTACAAGAGAGATCTGGATTTTAACAGAGAGTGATGACAACAGTGGATAAACTGTTTTTCAATTGTAAAACAAACAAACAATAAAAAAATTGTATGAATCATTTGTGAATGTGTATTGTTGTCGTTGTTATCACTGTCTTATTATCTTGTGCTGCTGCTCTGGTCCAGTGTCTTCATGGACGATGTGTGTGAGGGTGGACATGTTTGGAGGTTGCTGTGTTGAAGCTCCATGAATCAGCCTCTCTGCAGCTCTCAGCACCTTCACTGAGCCTTGAGGGAATCACTGAGCTGCTCTTGTTCTTCACAGTTAGAAGGTGGGAGCTCTCGTCAAATGATGATCTCCAGCATCATCTTGTTCATGCCAGGCTTTTCATCCACTGACCACAGACACCTGGAAACATCAGGGGGGCCAGCAGCTGTTTAACACATCTGGAAGGAAACCAGTGAGATTTTAATATGGCCATGACCATTATATGATGTTATGTGGGGGAGTGGTGGAACAGAGGTTAGAAGATGGGCCTGTGATCAAAAAGTCGCAGGTTCAACTCCCGGTACCGTCAATATCAAAATGTGGGTGGAAAAGGTGAAACACCCACTCCTGCCTCCACCCTCATTGGCCCCACCCTGGTCCCCTGAGCAAGGCACTCAACCCCCACCATCTGCTCCTAAACAGGTCTCTCCAGAAATGAGTTCTCGTGACTCAATGAGACTACCTGGATAAATAAAGGCTAAATGAAAAAACAAAAGTTTAAAATAGAAATACTCACATCATGAGGCCAAGGTTGTGTGTGTGACGTGCACGTTCCTGAGAGTGTGTGTGTGTGACGTGCACGTTCCTGAGAGGCCACAGACAGAGCAGCTCCAGCTTTTGTTGAGTTCCTGTAGTCCTGCAGTTTTCAAGCTGAAATAAAAAAGCATCATAAATATGAACTTTACAGTCTCTAGTTACCTGTTCATATAAACACATGGAGGCGTCTCAGCTTGTGACTGACAATAAAATATGTAAATTTATGAACATTAATGAACTTATAATGATGCTCCTACTCTTTGAAGGTGAACCAATGGTACCACACCATCTCTCAGTCGGACAGTCTGATCAGTTTGATCAAAATCCTCCAGTTTAAAATCCTCACTGCTCAGATGAATCCTCCTCAAAGATACTTCCTCCTCTTCCTCACATCTTGTTCTTTGGGAAACCTTCAAAATGAAAACAGGAGATTTGTGTCTACACAAAAACATTGTACAAAAGAGGTCAATCTTATTTTCTATTTCCTATATTCTCCCTAGTTTTATTTTTTAATATCCTAGAACTTAAACAAAACTCCAATTCTGATGCATATCTGTTGATAATGAACCAAAGCTACTGAAATAGTGAGTATGCTTGTTAGAAAAATATTCCTGTCATCAGATCTCAGTCAGCTTCATTGCAGCTGAACACCGTGTTACACTGAACATCACATCAGCTGGTGGACATAAATACAGTACAGTAATATTATATTCACAAAATACTAACAATAATATGTTCATCACTTGTGAAAAGTTATCCCACGAGACCTGACGTCAACAGTCCGTCGATCTGAACAGAAATAAGCTGCGAAGTGCTGAAACATCTGCTTTAACCAAATAAGGACGACCGTTCCAAGATGGCGGCCGAAATTCCAGCGCCGCAGCAGCCAATGAGGGATCTAGTGATTAGATGATATCTATGATCATTAGACTAAAAATATGTACGATTTTACAATAAGGCTCCCCTTTTAGATGGCTAATAAATAGTTTGTTATTAATTCCTCTATAAACACTTTATAAATTATTAATAACTGTTTATTATACATGAAAGAGACAAAACTGACCAGTTTCTTGCCAAAAAGTGAGCCAAATCTGTTCACTATATATTTCATCTAGAGTTGTCAGAAATGTTTAATATAACAACTCTAGATGAAATATATAGGTGAACAGATTTGGCTCACTATTTGGCAAAAAAAAAAAAAAAAAACAGGTCAGTTTTTTCTCTGTCCTTAATTAATGCATGATAAGCAGTTATTAATGATAAATAAAACATTTATAGAGGAAAGGTTTGTAGGTTCAGTCATCCAGGTAGATAACAGAAAAGGTTAAATAATTTCATCTGGACCAGTTTCTTTAAGGGAGCAACATTTCGTCTTCCATCCGAAAGACTTCATCAGTCTGTGGCCTGCCAACCAGATCTGTCCCATAAGTAGCCTTCATTGCTGTGTTTCAAGCCAACCTCCTCTTGGAATCTCAGAAAAAGGCTTTTAACACATGCAAAAGGACCCATCCATCCAAAACAATCAATCATCATGTATAACAATCAAATATGCTGGTGAAGATTCTCAGTTTTTTGAATATATCAAATGTTTTAGGCCAGTTGGACGACTTGCTACTCACAGCCTGAGGACACCAAAGCCAAAATGGTCAATGCACATGGTCCTGGTCACATGACCGTCCTGTTAAGAAACTGGTCCAGATGAAATTATTTAACCTTTTTTGTTGTTTATAGAGAAATTAATAACAAATCTATAAACTTGTGTCCCATTCTTTCCTGAAAAACGCAGTCAGACAGTAGAGGTTACAATGTGAAGGTAGCTGTAGGGATGTTGCACTGATGTTTGTTACCGGCTGAACCTGAAGTCGTTGCAAGTAGCAGGGCACCCTGTAAATGTAATTATTTACATATGATTGTCTAATGTAATAGGAGTTTTTAAGTTAAATGTACGCTTTCAGGGTGTCTTTGTTTGAGTTTGTATGTTTATTTGTCATATGCAGGTCAACACAAGGTCAGCAATGCACTATTACTGCTAGCAGCATGGTCCTTTTTTTCAGCATGGTCCTATTAGCAGAGTGGATCTGTTAACAGTGAGGTTACATGGTCCCGTTAGCACTTAGCAGCGTGGTCCCATCCATTAGTAACATGGTACTGTTAGCAGCATGGTAATATTAGCAGCATGGTACCATTAGCAGCATAGTCCCATTAGCAGCGTGGTTCCATTAGCAGCGTGGTCCCATTGGCAGCATGGTCCCGTTAGCAGCGTGGTCCCATTAACAGCGTGGTCCCGTTAGCAGCGTGGTCCCGTTAGCAGTATGGTACAGTTAGCAGCATGGTACCGTTAGCAGCATGGTACTGTTAGCAGCATGGTACCGTTAGCACCATGGTACTTTTAGTAGCATGGTCCTGTTAGCAGCATGGTACTGTTAGCAGTGTGGTCCCATTAGCAGCATGGTACAGTTAGCAGCATGGTACCGTTAGCAGCATGGTACCGTTAGCAGCATGG